GTGCTAGAAAAGTGTTGAGTTTTAGACATTTCATCTAAAAAATCATTGAAGTTTATATGATTTTGTATAAAAACGATTTTGAAGGGAACTATTATCTCAGATTTTGAGATATTGATCTGAAACTTCTATAAGAAGAAATCCAGATCAAGTTTTTATATGAATAACTTTTATTTGATAAAACTTCTTCAAGCAATTCAGAATGGGTTACTAATTGTTTAAAGCAACGGTAGAAGCCTGGAACATATTTGTCAGATCGGACCACTATAGCATTTAAATGCAATTGAAACATAACTATCAAACTCAGATTATTGTATGGAACTTTTTTATTTGTATAGTGTATTAAAGTTAAAGATATTTCTTTTTTTATGTTATTATTGGATTATAAATAAAATATCTCGATTAAAAAGTTAGCTTTATCGATACTGAGGTTGCCTTTTATTTTTCGAGATTTGGCGACCCTAGTACATATTACAATCCTTAAACTCACAACTGTGTAATAAAGTTCGAAATTTTTGATGTTATACATACTCATATATTTTAACATATGAACGTTATTTGTGTTGTTTACAGTAACTTAAAATGTACATTTCGGGCAAAAAATATTTTTGCGCAGTTATTTTTCAAAAATTTGGAAGTGGATTAACTCAGAATCCATAGATTAATTTTGGGCGATGAAGCTCAGTGTTTAATGATAGTATTGTGAATCTAATCGAGGTCGTAGATCACTCCAAGGAGTATTTCGCGAAGCTTGTCTAAATTTAATTGCTGTTTCGGAAACTATTGTGCGCAAACTTATATTGCAGGAACTTTATATGATCGTGAGGTTGAGACAACTTTGGGGATTAGTCAGGCCAGTGAATGTATTTCAATATTGCATAAATACTTGTATGTAAAAGAAATTTATTCACGTTGGATCCCACACAATTTTTCAGTCGCTCAAAATAGGCTTGTGTTGATTGATCGGGAGAAATGTTAAAAAATACGAGAGCGATGCTTCGAAACAAGCCTATGACAACGTGACAGGTGATGAATAGGGAATTCAGAGCAGAGGACTGTATGTTATGAATGTTTCCTGATGTGGCCAATGCAAAAAAGCTGTTCACGGACGAAACCCTACCGAACAAATGGTTGCATGTTCTTCAGAAAAACTAGACAAGTCGCAACCATACCACTAGAACAATAGAGAGAAGTAAATTGTGAGTGGTACACAACCATTTGTTTGCCAGTTGTCTTTCAAGAAATCAGGAAAACCAACCACATAAGGTGGACTGTATTACTAAAAACTAATAATTTTAATAATTTTTTGTTTAAAAGGCAGTTAAATAAATATTGCATTCAAATTATTTAAATCTTATTCTAAGCGATTTTGAATTGAGATTTAAGTTTGTGAAGGCAAGCAGTTTTAATTGAATTCCCAATAGCTTCGAATGAAAGGGTAGCTGTATTTGAATTTAGCCAATAATATTTACTTTTCTTAATAATTTTTCTTTTAAACCTGCTTTTATAGAGTGACTCAATGATAATACATTTATTTATATACATACATACATACATACATACATACATACATATGTATGATGTAAGTACATTCAGATCAAATATTGCAAAATATTGCAGAAGATTGCAAATAATCCTTTTTGTTGTTCGTTTCGTGCACGTTTACGTCGCATAATCGAGAAATACAGTAAGGATAAACATTTGATGAAATTAACCAATATCCTGACATGCAGCTCCTGCAAAGCAAACGATATTTCCTTTAAATTTTCGTTGCATCCAGAGCGATGCAGCGACTTTGTTGTTGTGTTGCGCTGCTTTTTTGCTTTCAAATTTGCCGATTTGTGTTGTATTTTTTCGTTTCACTTTTTTCTGGAAATGGGCAGCTCAAAATTGAATTCAATTGAATTGTATTGAAGTGTAGCGGCGGAGCGCTGCTCAAAGGACGAGCGTATAAAGTGAAAATATTTACCGCAACTGTGATGCACACATACACCAACAACTATATATGCATGCATGTACTTATGTTTGTATGTATGTGTGCATGTGGAGCATGGTGAGTGTAAGCATAACAGTTACAGTTACAAATACAGTGGCATTCAGCCAGCCATCATGCAATGTTTTTGTTTCCGTTTTCTCCATCCATTTGCTGTCATCTTTTCAGTTATTTTGTTGTTTTAGTTGCTTTTTTGTGTTTTCATCTTCCCAATCAAGCAATAAAAACAACAGCGGCTGCCCACAAACATCCCCTTTCGGTAATTGCACGAAAACCAGGCATTCAATTCAATTCAAACCGACCGCACACACACACATACATTCGCATTTCATTTTGATCCGCTTCCCTGCTCAGCCTCTAGCCTCAATTGCTCTGCTGGCTGTCTGTCTGCTGTGTGACTGTTTCTATTCCAGCAGACCAAGAACACTTGGACAACTCCTCAGTCCTCAGTCCCCACTCACCTCGAAGCCCGCCCTCCGCCGCCCGCTCAGTCGCTGCCATCTAAACGGTGTGCAAATATCTCAATTATCTTGTCTCGGCTCTTGGCCAACTCGCTGCTCGTTTATCGTTTATTGCACAATAACAAAATTAAGTGCCTTTTAAGCCACACACAAGCACACGCACACACACACACACACACACACGGTTGCCCGCACGCGCCCGTGTTTGTGGAATTGTTCGCACTTTGCTAGACAAGCGAAGTGAGTAGCGCTGAACTGTTATGAACTTGTGCAAATGCTCTGCTGCGAGTGTATACCCACACACACACATGCATACACGCGCCTCGTTTGTCCTGCTGTAGTTATTGCCACCGCTTTTGTTGTTGTTGCTTTGATGGCGCTTCATCAAAATCACAGTTCATTTGCGAAAGCGGGAGCGGGATGCACAATCACTCAGCGCTACCACACACACTTAGCTGCGTGTGTGCATGTGTGTTGGTTGCCTCTTCCTTCCGCATGCTTTTCATTCAATTGCCCACTCTCCAACGCTTACTTTGCTGATTTATGTGATTAAGAGTTTTTGTATCCTTATAAAGCTTGCGCTCTTCCATTACAGCAGCTGCAGGAACACAGCTCGCCTCACAAATACACACGCATACACTTACAACCAGAGATGGAATTATGCGACGCAGCGCCATTGCCTCATCAAGCGTTGTTGAATGAGGGTTTTGCATATTATCCCCGTAAGTACCCATAGTACCATACGTCCTGCACTAATGAGTAGAGGATTATGTTCGAGAGAGCGTATGTGACGCTCAGCTGATGGATGTTCAAAGGGTGTGAAAATTTCCCCTTATTTTCTAAGCCTTTTCGCCCGGGCGCTTGAATGAAACTCGATCGTGGTCACGTGCTTAGACACTTCCAATTTGTTTACTAATTAGCTTGGATATTTATTTTTAGGATCATGCGGAAATTAATAGTTTTTATTAGAGCACATAGTGGTGAAAGTTTTACTTTTTTCGTTATATATATTAAGTTTGCCACGAAGTTTGTAACAACCAGAAGGAAACGTCCTTTTAAGGTATATATGTACATACATACAAATGTTCAGAGACCTACCTCGTCGATCGAAAAAGTCCTCTGTATCGATCTGAAATTTTGGTCCAGACCACTGGAGGATATAGCTACCATACTCAAACTAACGGATCTCAAATACTCGCTGTTGAAGGGAATAAGTAATTTTCAGGTAATTTGCTGGGATCTTTAGTAAGAGATGACTTCTATGGCCTCAGCGAAACAGCTACTTTCAACAATCGATACGAAGAGTATCATAACTCAACAAATCCGATAGTCTTTGGAGTATTTGAGGTGTTCTGTTTATGAGTTGGAGTTCAAAAATTTTCCAACACGTACCAGTCCTATTACTTTCCGGACAAACCCAGTACGTGTTTGAATGTTAATCGAATACACCATAGTCCGTCTAAGAAAAATAGGCTATTTCTGTCACAGAAAGTTTTCTAACCTGCTTTCTAATTGGTGTCAATAGTGTTCATTCCGAAATGTCTATTTTCCACTCGAAAATATTCATCACCTAGAAACCAAAACTTGTTTTCGACAAAAGTGGGAGAAGCGCATAAGCTAAGATCGAAGTGCGTATTCCGGGAAGTAGACATTTTTCCTAGTAAGCCAGCCAAAACTCAACAAAAATATCCTTTTCCTTGCTCACACACTCCTCTCTGTATTGGTGAGCGCAATATTTCTTTAAGCCACGCCTCTCGTGCGTTCCATACACTGTAAAGCGAACAAAACCACTTCACCCCGCAGCTTGGTGTATGTGTGTGTGTGTGTACTCTCTACCACGCCACTCAACCCTCCAAACCAGTTTCCCAATTCGATTTACGAGCATTCGAGCTTGCTGCACGTCTCACACTTACCAGAAACAAGCAACCAACGAAACAACAAACCAGCCAACCAGTCAACCTGGCAAACGGTGGGCACTCTCGAGAAAGCATGTCAGCCTAGGCAACCTGAACGGCCGTGTTGGTTTTTGCCGTTTGTTTATTGCCACCTTTGCATTGTGGCAGTGTGCTTCACGGTTGCACTTGAGCTCCGGCTACCTGGTTTTACGGTTCAACAACGCGCGGCATTCGTACTCTGGCCGAGGTAACGGCGCGTCCGTGTCAAGTTTGAACTTACGGTTACGGAATTTTGACGAGTTGACATACAAGCCATAGAAAAAAACAACAAATATTTGTGACCAAATCACTAACGTGAATTAGTGAGGTGAAAAAGCGTCGGCATTGCACTGCTTGCCGATTAAATAAACAAAAGGCAAGAGCTTTGAAGCGAGCTTTTTCTGTGCTTTCGAAAATAAAATCAGTTAATTTAACCTGTGACGCTTTAATATTGTATAAAGCAATTAAATAAAAAAGAAAATATGAATAATTTTTGTGAAAATTTGTAGAATGCAAAATATTTGAACTTTTCTAAAGCAATTTATTGGTGTGAAAAAGAAAGTTTGTAAACTCGTCCATATAGAAATAATATTACTAATCATAAAATAAGCAAATATGGATATAAAAACTACGCCACCACCCACACTAATGAACTCGCGGTCCACTGCGTCGCCGCCTGCCAACAACAGCGCCACTTCGCCAGCACCCGCCTCTCCCGCCGCTGCTGTGACCACGTCAACGGCCGCCGGCGCCATGAGCAGCATTGCAGCGCTCGGCAGCATTTCTAACGTGCAGAAACAGACGTTTCAAAACATTTTTGAAAAACTGGTTTCTAGCAATGGCGACGGTGGCAAATTTCCGCCCAAGCAACTCGAGAATTTTCGTCATTTGCTGGAGAATGTGCGCGATTCGAAGAACTTGCAACTGATTGTGGAGAAATTTAAGAATTTGGAGCAGTTCGAACAGAACTTTTTAAGCGGCGCCAATAATAACTCGGTCATTGCAGAAGGTATTGAATATAGTTGATTTTAAGTTAAAAAAAAGGGGAAATTAAGTGAATTTTGAGAGCTGCTCAGTAGAATTCGCTTAGTTTTAAGCTGAGTTAAGAATTAGTTAGTCAATAACACTTAAGTGGTAAATGATTAATGTAAATACTACGAGTAATTTCCAATCAACTGTGAACTTTGAACTGTTTTCGAGATGATTAAACTGGTGTCCGTTTTGTGTCGGGCATGAATAAAGCTTTATCTAAATAAAGCGCTGCTTAGTCGGTCAACTGGATTCTTAACACTAAAACAAGTATCGTAGGAGAATTTAATTCCGCTATAAAGCATTTCCTCCCCATTCGTTTATACATGAGTACATATAATAATCAGTCCTATTTCTGTGAGATTGAGATGTTGGTCGCAAACATTTGTATTCAATTCAAGCATTTAGAACATGAAGCCATTCAAGGTTTGTTACTAAACATCGCGCACATTTTTAAAACTTTAAAGTTTTTATTGTAGCTAAAGACATATTTTGGAAGTTTATGGGTAGTGTTTACATGGCTAAATATCAGAATAGTGAAAAGGTGCCAATTGCCGACGCAACTTAATGGCACGAGTGCATTTCTTTGCTTTCCTCTTATTATTAAGTTTGTAACACCAAAACAGAAACATCAAACAGTATAAAATATATATCTAAATGATCTGCATGCCCACTTGAGTCGACTGTTCAAGCCCCTAAAGACCGAATATGTGGACCCCAATATCTATAGTTGACTTTTTACCGCAAAATCGAGCCATGAGCGAGATATATAATTGGCATTCAGAGATAATCTTTTCCTAACAATAGTCGTTGTGTCTTTGTCTGTACGTCAAAAATGGACTGAATCGTGTCAATGTTTCCTTAGGTTCCTTAAACCTAAAATTAGACGAAAACATGACCTAGCCCTCATATAACAAACACATAACATCCGGAAGACTTTACTCCATATGATTGGTGATGGTACCTTCATGAACCAAAAGAAACATTTTATTAGTATGAGGCATGCATAGGTAGTATTTGCAAAAAATTGAAAAAATCGTGTGTATATATGAAGGTGAACTTCAATAACTCGAAGTCTCTCTAACTCGAAGTTTTCTTGTGGATTATGGTGATTCGAATCAGGAAAGTTCAACAGTATGTATAATTGCTTGTATTCCGATCCCCCGAAGTTATTTACTTGTTTCAAATAATTTTGCGCATTTTTTTTTTTTTTTTTTTTTTTTTTTTTTTTTTTTTTTTTTTTTTTTTTTTTTTTTTTTTTCATTTGATTCCGTTGAAACGCTGCTTATGTAACTTTGAAAAGTTTTTTATAATGAAAATATAACTTTAAGGCCAAATGTCCGAAATCAGCAGTACAAAGCATTTAAAAAAAAAATTATAACATTTTTGAATTTTTGTTAATATTGACACAATGACAAATGTAATAAATTCGTTCTAGCCACAAAAATATTGACTTGATTTTAATTCGCTTTTCCATTAAAACGACATTATGCATCGCTTAAATAGAAACAGAAAACAGCATTTACCGTTGTCCAATTGCCATAAGCAGAACAACTTTGAATGCAAATAAACAAATTACAACAAAAATAATGGCCATAAAATCAGCCTGATTTAATTAAAGCAAATGTGTGGTAGGCACGCTCTCAGCGGCTAATGTGCATACATACTATATGTACAATTAGAATAAAAAATTGAGAAATCGCCAACACATGCAGTACAGGGCACACCTGCAACCTTAGTTGAATGCAAATTACACGTAACAACAACAATAGACAGAAAAAATAAAGAAATTGCTATGAAATTTGTTCACAACTTTGTTGCTGTACATATTTGCTCACATCTATACATATGTACATGTACGTACACAGAGAGAAGAGTAAACTAAGGCTCTAACGCGACCTGGTGAAGGACTCCTGTTGAAATTTGTTGATGAAGTGAATGTGTTTCAAGCTCTTTTTTGAAATATATTGTTCGTTTCGTGACAAATAAAACTAAAGTAATGTAAATTGCGAATATAATGAAATCCATTTTAATTTTTAAAGTGTGCTTTTCTGCAATAATACACTCAAATACGTTTGCCCGACAACTTGGTGTTGCTGCACTCACAGCGTTACTGCATTCATTATTGTCACAACTAAAAGCCAGTTCACTTTATCTCAGCCTCATATATTTACCAACAATTTAGGTCAATAATTAACAATTTAAACACGCTCACGAATCGCCACCCACACATAGAACCAGGCATAGACTAACGATGACGGCCGAAAAATATTTAGATATCATTACCCAGTGGTAAGAAGTCTGGGGTCGAGATAAGAAAAAACAAAAGAAGAAAAAAAGCAAAATATTCAATACAAGCACTTAATTTTTATAGGTCGATACCTCCATGCTATATTGACGCAATCTGAACCATTTATTTGGAGAATGCGCGGTTACTTTGGGCAATAACCCGTGTTAAATTTGGTGAGAACATCTCGTGTAATGAAAAAGCTTTTCATACAAGCACTCTATTTCGTTCAGTCTATATGGCAGCTATATGCAATAGGAGTCTGATATAAGTGGTTCCTTCTTGAGGAAAAAGGACGTGTGCCAAATTTCAGACCGATATCTTTTACTAGTTCGCGACACGTCATGGTGATTATTTATATATACATATATTTTTTATAGGAGAATATTCCTTAGTGGAGTTTGCAATGGAAATGAAAATAATCTCGAATATAGGTTGATAAAAAATGGTATTATAGAGAGTAAGTTGAAATTATACACCCATCACATATGAGTTTCTAGACACTGATAGTGCTATTTACTTCACAATGTCACTAGTTGTGCCAAGGCACCACATAAATGTATATTTACACCACATCCAACAGAGTTGCGTGTTTTCACCACTGGGATGCGATTGCGCGCTTGCATTGATAGCGGTGACACAAGAATGTATCTGTAGGCCGCAGGCCGCCATGTTGCTGCTTCGCCGTGACATGACAAGCTGTGCCTGCCTGTCATGACAAATTGCCATAAAAGTGATTTTTAGTTTCAGATAAAAGTGCAACAGTCAGCCGCCAACACCGCCAACACCGCCAGCACCGCCAACTTGCCACTTCGCTTAACGTCCACTTGTGTGTGTGGGATTGTGTGGTGTGTCGGCGACGCATTTGGTGGCATTCGTGTGGCGATTTGCAGTTCGGCGCACGAAACGATCGGTAATTACGGTGTTTACCTCGTTAAAAACAAACATGTCGCCAATAAAAGACATCCCCCGTCACCCCCCTGCCCACTGCCACATAACTGTGCAAACACGCCACATAGACACACATGCATGTGTTTAGGAGCATGTGAGTGTGTGTGTGTTGCATTTTGTGGAGCAAGGAGGTGAATGCGCAACTGCGACGCTGCTGGTGCTGCTGTTGCTGCTGGCGGTGTTGGTGATGGAGTGCACTTTTAATGCTATTAAAAATTGCTTACAAATTTATGACAGGCTCGTGCACTTAATTGCATTCATTATTTTAATTGTGTAATTCCGATTTTTTAATTTAATGGAAATTGTATTCAAGTGACTTTCACTCGCTGCATAAAATTTGCCTGCCTGACCAGATCTTACGAATATACATGTGAGCGTTGTGGTAAGTGTAATATGTTCAGTTTTACAAGTTAGGTGCGAACAAGGTGTTTTGGACTTCCAAATTAAATTAATAAATTAATTAAATAAACAGTCTTGAAACTGATATTCTTGCCAAAATTAGTGTCTTAATTAAATTCTGACACACATCTCCGAATTTGCTGTTTTGGTCTTTCAAGAAAAGAATTAAATACTTTTCGAGTTACATGTGATCTTCGACAGCGCCAAAAAGGGACTTACACTACAAAAAATTAAAATTAGATCAGATATGAACTGAGAGATCAATATATGTAAATATACCAACCGTGTCTGAGAGTGTACACGAAGACCGTGGAGAGTCGCTCATTTTACGTCGAGACCTTAAATTGAAAGCGAACAAAATACAGCTTGTACAAGAACTGAAGCCGCCCGACTTTCCCAAGTAATCTCGCTCCGTTCTATAGGTAATTGAAAAGTTCCAAGAAGACTTAACGTATTCGAATTAAATTTTATTCAGCGATGAAGTACATTTTTGGCTCAATGGGTATGTAAATAAGCAAAATTGACGCATGTGGGACAAAGAGCAGCCTGAGGAGATTCAAAAGCTGTTATTTCATCTAGAAGAAACAACCATTCGGTGTGGTATTTCTTCAGAAGTGATTTAAAATGAAGCTCGTGATCTCGGCGACATTCGGTTTCAACAAGACGGCGGCACTTCCCACGCATCTCATGAATCAATGGATTCGTTGCGAAAACACTTCGGTGAGCAGATAATTTCAAGTTTTGGGCCGATCGATTGGCCACTAAGATCGTTAGACCTTTTCCTGTAAGGATATGTAAAGTCTAAAGTCTATGCGGATAATCCCGCTTCGATTCAGGCCTTGGAGCAAGCCATCACGCGTGTCAGTAGTACTCAAAAAAATTGGCCGGGGCCAACAAAAAGGGTGTTCCGTCTAATAAAAATAAATATTATCCATTAAATTTGAAGTTGTTGCATGTTTTGTTTAAAAAAGTAGGGAACCTCGAAATGAATGCTAAATCAAGTTAAGACACTGGAATCGCGGTAGCGAAAGGCACCTGTGGGATAAAATTTTTTGAAATATATATATATATATATATATATATATGTTATGGTATGTCAAAAATGGGTTGAATGGAATGAATAATGCTCTGAGCCCCCATATACCTAATAGAAAGATTTTCGAACATCCGTTTGACTTTATACCGTATATATCGGTATATATGTGAAATATCTTAATAAAACTGATGGAGCAAATCTGGTGAAAACTTGTCTTAGACCCCATATAACTGATAAACCTGATGAACTTGAAAAAATATCCTGATAAGTTGCAAGAGAGAATGTTACACTCGAACTTAGCTCTTTCTTACTTGTTGTAAATTCTATTAAAACACACAAACCAATTCTCCAATTTTTTACCAAAAATTCTGAAGATTACATATCTGCATCTTTGGTATCTAAATGAATACATGAATGTTTCCAAATATTAAACTAATTTTGCAAATTCAATTTGAAATATTTTAGACGCTGACATCGCTTTGAAGGACACCTCCCGGAAATTTGGCACAAGCGGTCAAGCTCTGACGCCACGCCACACCATTGACGCCATACTGGGGCTTAAGAATCGCAGCGAATGCGGGGAAGGTAAGTGCAAAGCTTGTTTAGCGTCTTTTTTTGAAATTTGAAACAAATTTAACAACAAAGTATAAAGACAATAATAACTGGACTTATATCACATTTTTATTAGAGGGGGGTTGCGTGTTCCAAACTTCTTATCCACGCTTGATTACAAACGTCATAAAACACCCACAGTTGTCGCTTTTGGCAATTACATTTGGCAGGTGCCATCACGGCCAGGCACCAAGTCGAAATTGCGTTGTAATCCATTTAAATCGTCTACTAATCCACGAAGTAAAAATAAAAATTAACGAAAAACACATAAAAACAGAAAAAAGAGAAAAACTGCCACCTAACCAAAAAGGCATTAAAACTTTCAAGAAAACTGCATAAATTTGAAGCGCTAACAGCCGCTGGCAACTAACAAAACGCCAGCAAACGCCTACTCGCATGGATTTCTGCCAACAACGGTAAAACAATGGCACACGGAGGATAATGAAATCGGCTTAATCCCTTTACGAAATCGCGAATCACGAAATCAGCGCAAGGTGACGACGACGAACGCTTTCGCTCGCTGCTCTTATCAGCTGTCGTGCATCTAAATCCGCTAAATTACATTCCGAAGCGAAAAACGAAGGTGGTGCAGAGTGACGCTGATGGTGTTTAACAGCCAATATAACTACTAAACAGCGAGGGAAGCGCTGTAAGCTGACGAGCGTCTGCTTTCTTAACTATTTACACACACACAGTTATGGTATCTTGGTTATGTGTGCGAGTTTTCATTCATGTTAGAATACCCCCACGTCTGCGAAAAAATCCTTAATTTGAAATTATTTCCTAATGCGGACGAAAACAAGTGTTAATGTGATTTAGCGATTAGCATTCCAGAAGCCCCACCAGAAGGCACGGGGCAGAGCACATTTGTAATTTCTTAGTTTTAAAGAAGCAAGCTTTTCAGTTATTTGAATTTCGTGATGATTAGTTTGGCAAATTAGGTTGATTACCACGTACAGGGTGTCATTATTTTAACGATTTTCTTAACAACATACATTATGGTTATGGATCGTGATAGATATTTGGATATTTTTATACCATGAACAGTGCATATAAAGTTCGCCCGGAAGTTTGTTAAACCCAAAAGGATAATCCACACGTGAACTAGTTCCTCGGTTTTCGGGATATCGGTCCGAAACTTTGCACATCTTCCTTTCTCTCCTAGAAATTGTTATGTCGGCGGAAACACCGATATTGGACAAATATAGCATGTAGTTGTCGTACAACCTGAACGAGCGGAGTCAAGTGCTTGTATGGAAATCTTAATAATTTGAAAAAGAGTCTGCAAGAAATTTAGCATATACTAGTATTCGAAGCTTCGCTACAATCGCAGAAAAAATCGTTCAGATTGGACCACTACAGCATACAGCTTCCATATAAACTGACCGGTCCAAATCAAGATAGATTTTTTATACCCTTTTATGCTATAAACATGCAACAATGAAGAACATTAAGACTTTCGTGCAGTCAAAGCAAACGCTTTTCCTGATTTTAAAAAAGTCGACCATATATCAGTAGACGATCTTTTAAATTTAGGTTCCGAAAAAGCCAATTTCTAAAAAGCCTAATGAAGCTAAAGGGTGATCCATTTCTTGGTTCTCTACTTTTTTAGAGAAGATGGTCCGTCCGTTGAGTCCTCTAATTCTGCCGGCCCATAAACCACGCCAAAACGTTGCTTTTTCTGGAAGAAATGGAAGCCCTTGAATCAACTTAGTTTGCTCTACGCACCAATTGCGACAATTTTGCTTGTTTACATACCCATTGAGGAAGAAATGGGCCTCATCGCTGAACAAAATTTGGCTCGAAAACGTCGGATCTTCTTTAAACTCATAGAGCGAAGCGATGTCGCTTGAAAAGGTCGATCGGCTTCAGTTCCTGCGCAAGCTATATTATGTATTTCATGTGCCAAGTCGTTCAATACGTCAGTCCGAGTTGCTGCGAACCGAGGTGAATTGACTCTACACGGTCTTCGTGGACACTCCGTGCTGGACGTGGTCTATTCGGCCGAATAAGCTGTTTCATCTGAGTCTTCAAATCGAAATAGTTCCCTAATATCCTAACGAATTCCTAATTGCTTTTTGAAAAGATTTCTTATTATGACCCTCTACAATAAAAAAAAAAACTATAATTAAAGAGAACAATACGGAATTGATCAAGACTACTTCCTCACAACAAATATATATAGAGGCAAACAATCTTCTTAGAAAACAAACTAACAAGAAAATTGGGTTTCTGATTCGAAATAAAAAAATATGTATGTTTTCACAACCGTGGCATGTAACATATAATACTTCTCTGTCGACGATAATAAACTCACGTACTACGAGTATATCCCAGAAATCTTGCCGTTTCACTCATGATATAATACAAACGGTTAATCTAGACAATTCTTTTTAAATAAAATTGTTTATTGAACTCAAAACTCCTTATGCTAAATTTTTTTTTTTTTTTTTTTTGGTCTTTCCTTTGACTCATTGCATAAAAACCATTTGACAGAGCTTCCATTTATATCATTGTCTGCTATTTACTAAATATAATAGAATTTCGGTATATAAATAGCAAATGATATACTCGCTTTCAATCCTTCTCTCCATGCCAAGAAAAAAATAATATATTTAGTTATATCACTCAGCTCTATATCATTTGTATATGTAAGTATTGATATATATGCATATATGTATGTGTGGTATTTATGTATCTGTCATGGCGCACGCCCAGCAAGCAAACACCGCCTGAATACCAACCAACACACGCGCATTCCTCGTACATTTAATTAAATCTTTGATTGTATTTAATGGATGGGGCCGTGTCCTTTGTGCAATTAGATAACCTGATTCATGACGCAAATGACAGTAATAAAATCAAATTAATGACATGCCGCGGTGACAATTACAAATGTGTGTGCAAACAGTTATTGCTGGCGCATAACGGCTTGTTAGTTGCTGCAACTTACTCGCTTATACATACGTACAAGTATGTATTTGACTAGTTTATATTACGCTTGAATAGACAGGACAATAGTAGACACAATTATTTCAGCAGTTAATTGATTTCTAGTTAATTTTAGAGCACATTCGAGGGGCATCACACAACCTTTGTTCAAAAAAGTTTTTTTTTTTAATTGTGTGAATTAAAATATAATATCGCATAATCTTTTTTTTAATTTAGTTGTTTTTATTAGACATAGTTTTGGTAAATAAAAATTTATGCCAATCAAATCATTTATGCCAATATACTCAAGGCAGTGTTATCTTCAACTGATGAAAATATTAAAAAAGTGAAGGATGTGGTACTCGTCAGGCAGTTGCAAGCGAGCTCGACATCTCTCGCTGGCTCATTCAAATGATTTTGGTGGTTATTTTGGGTAAAGAACGCGTTCTGGTTCGAATCGTCCCGATAAAGCTGAATTTATTTCAAAATAGTAGCGAAAAGAGGTTTGTTTGAGGTTGGCTTGATCGTGCGAATTCCGATCCCACATTCATGGAGAGCAATATAACTGCTAATAAGACTTGGATGAATGAGTTTGACATGCAAACAAGTCAACAGCCACCTAAATGGAACACCTTTTCAAGCGATCGGAACATCATCTTACTATAAAGTGATTATGAAAAATTTGACAAGGGCTGAAGATCTGGTGGGGAATACTTTGAAGGCGACAAAATAAATACTCATGAATCATTTTTATACTCGCGCAACAAAGTTGCTAAAGAGAGTATTATAGTTTTGTTCACATAACGGTTGTTTGTAAGTCCTAAAACTAAAAGAGTCAGATGTAGGGTTATATATACCAAAGTGATCAGGGTGACGAGTAGAGTTTAAATCCGGATGTCTGTCTGTCCCTCTGTGCAAGCTGTAACTTGAGTAAAAATTGAGATATCATGATGAAACTTGGTACACGTATTTCTTGGCTCCATAAGAAGGTTAAGTTCGAATATGGGCGAAATCGGCCCACTGCCACGCCCACAAAATGGCGGAAACCGAAAACCTATAAAATGTCATAACTAAGCCGTAAATAAAGTTATTAAAATGAAATTTGTCACAAAGGATCGCACTAGGGAGGGGCACATTTGGAAGTAATTTTTTTGGAAAAGTGGGCGTGGCCCCGGCCCCTACTAACTTTTTTGTACATATCTCAAAAACTACTATAGCTATGTCAACCAAACTGTACAGAGTCGTTTCTTTTAGGCATTTCCATATACAATTAAAAAATGGAAGAAATCGGATAATAACCACGCCCACTTCCCATACAAAGGTTATGTTGAAAGTCACTAAGAGTGCGTTAACCGACTAACAAAAAACGTCAGAAACACTAAATTTTACGGAAGAAAGGCTTTTTTTAAAATTAAAAATGGGCGTGGTGTCGCCCACTTATGGACCAAAAACCATATCTCAGGAAGTACTCGACCGATTTCAATGAAATTCGGTATATAATATTCTCATAACACCCTGATGACATGTACCAAACATGGGTGAAATCGGTTCACAACCACGCCTGAAATCTCGATTATCCTCTTATACACATCTAGATGTGTATAAGAGACAGGTACCAAACATGGGTGAAATCGGTTCACAACCACGCCTGAAATCTCGATTATCACTTTATCATGCGAGAGTATAAAATGTTCGGTGACACCCGAACTTAGCCCTTCCTTACTTGTTTTATTTTGAAGTTTATTCACAATTTCCGTGTGCTTTTTTGGCAGAATATAGATGTAGTAATAACCTTTACGAAATTTAGAAAAATTAATTTTTATTCTTGCCCATATAGATTATCTATATCTCCACCTCTATATCTACACCTATACCTCCAAAAAAAAAAAACGTAAAAAAAATATGACTCGTCTTACATTAAACGCGTTTTTCCTGAATCAGTAATTTTTCCAAAGGGCTTGAGTAATTGTTCATTGGCTGTTCACTACCAAATTTTTTGTATTTACTTAGGTCTCCATACAATGACCAACCAGTTTTTTCAG